ACTATAAGTTTTTTTTTTTTTTTTTTGGTAGAAATGGGACTTATATTAAAGGTTAAATATTTTTTTGGTCCCTCTACTATAAGAAGAAGCTCATTTTTAGTCCTCATATCGAAAAAATCCCCTTTTTAGTCCTTATTGTTCGCAAATCCGATCCCTTTTTAGTCCTTCTGTTAAATTTTAGCTGATGTAGCAGGTTAATTAACGAAAAATTTTATTTTTTTCTTTACTTAAATTACGTGGAAAATCCATGTAGCAAAAATTGATGACATATTAAATTTTTTACCTTTAATTACTGATATACGCTCATCTTCTTCCCCGGCTTTTCCTTCCTCCAGCCTTTTTTTTTTCTTTTTTTTCTTTTACCTCCAGGCAAACCCAAGAGCCTGGGTTCGCAAGGAATCTAGTTCGAGAGGTTCATGACGAACCCAACTCAAGAGGTTCGCGACGAACCCAACTCGTGGGTTTGAGAGGAACCCAGCTCGCGGGTTCAAGAGGAACCCACAAGCTGGGTTCATCACAAACCCAAGCTAGGTTCATTGCGAACCCAGGCTAGGTTTATCGTAAGATTCAGAAAGTTTCAAATCAAACGTGAAAATTTTCATGTACAGAGAGATTTAGAAACTCAACGACACATACAGAAGATGAGGAATCGATTGAAGAGATCGAAGGGGATTTGCAGCTGCAGATCTCCTACTGCTTGCTCCAAGTTCTGTTGGTACTTCACTCTCGAATTCAGCTTTTGCCTAAACTTTTCTTATTTGCATGCTTACTATTCTCTATATTCATAAATTACTTCACTGTTAAAGCCTTAAATGCGATGATGATTTCGATCTAGACTTCAATTTGCAGTTTCTTGTCGGTTTCCAGATTGGGAGTTGAATGAGCGATTTTTATTTGATTTCAACTATATTTTGAGCTTAGTTATGTTTCATAAGTTACTTGTGAAATTTGAGATCAAAATCAATCTAGAAACAGAAGGATTTGAATGTTTCAGTGAGAAAAACTTGATGAAGCTCTTTCATATGCAATAGGTCTTCACGTTATGCGAAAATACTAACAGTAAGCCGAGTAGAGATAAGATGTTTCCAAAAAAATTTTTTGGTTTCCTGGACACTGTCCTATTTGGATCTTGATTTTACACTTTTGTTGCTTTTCAATAATAATATGAAATAATAGTCTCTACTCTCCCAAGTCCAATCTCAACAATCAATTCAAAATTAAAATCATTAGTTGGAGAAGTTTGAGATTGAAACGGATGTTGTCTTCTTATATGAAATTTGTGTCTTAAATGAAGTATGTTTAGTAATCAAAGATCCATGAGCAGGGAATCTTGCGACAAACCTAGCCTAGGTTCGCAATGAACCTAACTTGGGTTCACGATGGCGAACCCAGCTCGTGGGTTCGCGATATCGAACTCAGGCTCGTGGGTTTGTCGTGAACCCAGCTTGTGGGTTCACGATGAACCCAAGCTTTTGGGTTCGCGACGAACCCACGAGCTGGGTTCATCGCGACAAACCCAGGCTCCTAGGTTCGCCTGAAGGTAAGAAAAAAAACAAAAAAAAAAGCTGAAGGAAGGAGAGGATGAAGGAAGAAGATGAGGGTAAATTGGTAATTAAAGACAAAAAATTTGGCCATGTCATCGAGTTTTGCCGAATGGATTTTCCACGTAATTTAAGTAAAGAAAAAAATAAATTTTTCGTTAATTAACCTGCCACATCAGCTAAAATTTAATTACTAAAAAGGGGCCGGATTTGTGAACGATAAGGACTAAAAAAGAGATTTTTTCGGTATAGGGACTAAAAACGAGCCTTTTCCTATAGTAAAGAGACCAAAAAAAATATTTAACCTATATTAAATGAAATAAGTTCAACACATACGGGGGAATTCTATGAACAACTCGTAGTCGTAATTCTGACAGTTTGGATAACATTCTAATTTCAATCCAAATTGGTATTAAGTAGCAGTGTCATAAAGAAGAGACTCTATTAATTTACTAACAGAATTGTTTCTTCAAAATCCATGAGTCAATGGTCTGTGTCCATGATCCAGATAAGAAGAAGAACGCGGTTGAAGAACAGGTCGCGCTGTTTAAGGAGAGAAAAAAACAACTCAACAATATTTTTACGGCTACAAAATTTCGCATGCCCTGCTGCCTACGCGTGGCGGAAGACAACTTTCTGTCCTCTTCTGCAAAAGCGTTTATGAAGGGCTTATCGGACATGGATTGATTGGAAGCTTTCAACTTTCGTAAAAACTTCCCACCAGAGCCCAAAAAAGTTCAAAATCCCTTTTTTTTTTCCTTTCCTTGTTTCGTCCCTGTCAATCAACCCATTTTTTTAAATCAGGTTGTTTTGATCTATTGCTTTTGTGTGGGTTTTTTTTTGGGTGATTTTGCGGTTTCTGACCGTGGATTGATTCTGGGTTTGTTGTGGAAAGTTGGATTTGAGTATGGAGGTTTCGGTAATTGGGAGTTCTCAGGCGCAGATCTGGAGAACGGAATTGGGGTACAGGGATTTCAGGTTCTGCTTCGCGAAGAAAGATGAAAGCAGTAGGATCTTGTCGAGAAAGGCAAATCATGTTTGCTTTGTGGGTCAAAGTACGAGGTGGAAAAGCTCCAGTCTTCGATTTGCCGTGAAATCCATGAAAGCTGAACCTGTTCTTGCATCAAAACCTTCGAGCAGACCCAAATCCGTAAGCTTTACTATCTTTACTCTGTTCCTTTTCTTTTCCTGGATGAATAGTTTGTTCTCTTTTTATGTTAAGTCTAAGGAGAAAAGGAAGAATTTTGAGAGTTCTGAAGATGAGTTAGAAGAAATTAGCTGATATTATGATCTGATGTTGATTATTTCCCTCTGTGAAAATTAAATGGGTTTTCTTGTTTTCCATTTCAATTGTTAGTTAAACTCTATTGGTTGGAAAACTGAAACAAATAAAAAGAGGCCAAGGAAAAATAGAGGGAGAGAGAAGAAGAACAAGGAAATACATAAGTAATTGTATGTTTGCTAGCTGGGGCTGAACAGAGTTTGATTGCATTTCTATATATCAGTCACTTTTCTGTTAAGTTAAATTTTGTTAGTACTGATTGGAGCAGTTTTCTTCATAGCTTGGTGGCTCTAGATTATTTGTTGGGCTCCCTTTGGATGTGGTGTCTGATTGCAATACTATAAACCACAAACGAGCTATTTCAGCTGGACTTCAAGCTTTGAAATTGTTAGGGGTGGAAGGTGTTGAAATGCCTGTCTGGTGGGGAATAGTTGAGAAGGAAGCTAATGGGAAGTATGAATGGTCTGCCTATCTTGCCCTTGCTGAGATGGTTCAGAAAGTGGGTCTCAAGCTCCGTGTGTCACTCTGCTTCCATGCTTCTAAACAACCAAAAATCTCACTCCCCAACTGGGTAATTCAGATTAGTGAATCTCAGCCCAATATCTTTTACACAGATCGCTCAGGGCAGCATTACCAAGAGTGTCTATCACTGGCTGTTGATGATCTTGCCATTCTTAATGGAAAGACACCAATTCAAGTTTACCAGGAATTCTGTGAGAGCTTTAACTATACATTTTCATCTTTCCTGGGTTTCACAATCACGGTAAGCATATCTTTTATTTGGAGTAGCCTGTATTATCAGATACAATGAAATAGCCCATGCCTGAGATCTTATTTGGTGGATTGGTGATACTTATGGCTTCCATATTGTGGTTTTACAGGGAATCTCTATGGGTCTTGGACCAGATGGTGAACTTCGATACCCCTCACACCATTGTGCAGCCAAAAGTACCCATGGAGTTGGGGAGTTCCAGTGTTTTGACAAAAATATGCTTCAACTTCTTAAGCAGCATGCTGAAGCAACCGGAAACCCTTTGTGGGGACTAGGTGGTCCTCATGATGCTGCCAGTTATGACCAATCACCTAGTTCAAACAACTTCTTCAAGGATCATGGTGGATCTTGGGAAACTCCATATGGGGACTTCTTCCTTTCCTGGTACTCAAGCCAGCTCATTTCTCATGGAAACCGTCTCCTCTCTCTTTCCTCTTCAACTTTCAGTGATACTGCAGTAAGCATTTACGGAAAGATCCCACTCATGCACTCATGGAACAGAACCCGTTCTCACCCTTCTGAGTTAACAGCTGGTTTCTATAATACTGTTAACAGAGATGGTTATGAAGCAGTTGTGGAGATGTTTTCAAGGAATTCATGCAAAATGATATTGCCAGGGATGGACCTGTCTGATGAACACCAGCCACTTGAATCACTCTCCAGCCCTGAGTCATTAATTGCACAAATCAGAACAGCATGCAGAAAGCATAGGGTTGAGGTTTCAGGGGAGAACCTGGATTCAAGAGCTCCAGGTGGATTTGAGCAGATCAGAAAAAACTCTTTGGGTGAGAAATTAGTGGACTCATTCACTTATCAGAGAATGGGAGCTTTTTTCTTCTCGCCAGAGCACTTTCCTTCATTCACCGAGTTTGTCAGGAATCTCAATCAACCTGAATTGCATTGTGATGATCTGCCGAAGGAGGAGGAAGTAGTTCACCGTGCTCCGAACTTGAGCTCAGACTCAAACATCCACATGCAAGCAGCATAGTATATATTGCATGTATAATGTATAATTCAAGTGTGTGTGCCATATCTTGGTACTATAAAAGATTGGATTAGGAAAAGCATACTACAGAATAGCTTCCTTTCAATAATACAATACAATAGCCATACCAATATTTTCATAATTTGTAAGTAGAGAGCTCAGTACAGCTTGTTCTTAATGATTGCATTTGAGGCATGGTATATATTTTCGTATTTTATAGCTGTTGGAGCTTTTTTAGATGCAGAAGATAATCAGATTCTGGAAAAAGTATTATCTGAATCAGATATAATTTCCACTTTAATAGGAGAAATAGCAGAATTTACAGAACAAATAAATTCATTCATTTCTTCAATGATATCAGAATTATGTGAGCAAAATTGGTGGAAGATAGCAAGATTGCAGGCAAGGTGTACCACGGTAGGAATGAAAGCATATGATATGATGTGTGCACCGAGAATCTTTACAAGGTTGAGTCTGTTTGTTCAAGATTTACATGGGCAAATAGGAAAAGATTGAAAGATCCTTCAGATAAGTTACTTATTTACATATGCAAAAGATAATATGTTAACTTATTAGCCAACAAATAAGTTCCACTCTAGTAACTCCCTACAGATTCCCATCTCTTGTACTGTGAACCAATCTGAAATCAAAGTTGATGCATCAAAGACACCTCAAGTCCACCGACCGTTATTGCACCAATCTTCAAACTTTCCTGCTCCACAAGAAATGAGAAGTAAGGTTCAAATTATTCATGAATTATCTTAAACTATCTGTATACATATTATTGGGTTTTTTTTTTTTTTTTTTTTTTTGGGTTTGATTGGCTTGAGTGAAACTTATGTTCAATATAGTGATCCACACTGCCACAGCAGAATTAATCAACAGTTAAAAAGAGCTAGTACCATCACTCATGGTTGATTTCCTTTCTATTTTTTCATTTTTGGAGTAATACTGAAATGAATTTGCAGCTAGGAATAACAAAAAAAAGTTAGCTATTTAAACTTACAAATAATCAAATTCAAACCTGTGCAAGATCGTGTATCATTCACAAGCAATCCTGGTGTCAAAGCTGCTGATGCAGATTGCAAATGCTTGGAATGCTGAGATTGGATACTGGTAATCCATGGAAAAAAAATCCTTCCCCACTTTTCCAAACTGGAGGATGATCTTCTCATGCTCCGGACTGGCTGGTCTGTTTCCTGGAGAAGCTACCAACTGAAAATTTTTTACAGAAGCAACTGTTACTCGTCCATGAAAATTCAAGCACCAACACTGAAGCTGCTCATGCCACCTTGGAGCCTTGTTTCTCAACACCAGTGCGCCATCTCTTTTATCATTCAAAGGTCCTGAAATAATATTCTGTGGAGCAGTTGCTTTTGAATGGGACAATGGGGTTGATGGTAAGGAATCCATGTTAAAGAGAGGAAACTCGGTCTGTGTGGGAGCCATCCCTTCTGGTTTGATAGCAGTGGCAGGGATGGCATCCATAACACACTCCATTTTCCTAGGACCCCTGATTATCATTATAGGAAATGCAGTGTGTTAGAGATAGCTACTTTGGAAACAAAATTGTATATGGTTATTTAATTCAAGTGCTAAATAACAGACAACCTATCCCCATAAACCTGAGGGAAAACTGAAAACTTTAAATCCATCTTGGAAACAATGGCAAAATATTAAAAGTTGAATAATCCAACCTAAACTATCACCTTGTACCCAACATATTCTGTTCATATGAGATTCGAGCCACTGGGTAGTTGCCAAAAGAAACTCTTGGTGAAACTTGTTTCAAGCTGACTAGCTTTGAGGAGCGACTGCGAGTCATCTTGGCACCAGGGTAAGGTGGCTTGCCATCAAAGATGGTGAACTTGGTTCCTAAAAAATTTGATCTTGCCAGAAACAAAGAAAAGTGTTAAGAGCTGAGGCCACAAGAGAACATTAGAAGAAACCATTTCAGATACAGTTTTCCATTTGAGCAAACCTTAATTTCCCAATATAGGCGCTGCTGCCCTTTGACATATCATCAGTGGATAGAGATATAATATAATCCGTCCAGGTGGGACGCTTAAACTTCCTCGCAGCAAGAAGAAATTTGCCATCATCAGAGAGTGCTGCCACAGTGTAACAAAAAACAAAAATGTTGCCTTAGAAGAGAAGTAGAAGACAAGTAAGGTCAACAAGAAAATCAGAAGGCAAGTAGTTTGATTTAATCTAGTTTAACAAGTAATTTAGTTTAACTGCTCACCACTGGTTAAACCAAGATAAAGGTAATATGTTTGAGTAGATCGATCCCGCTTAATAAAGCAGTAGATGGGAAAATCCCTTGGACCAGGCTGCAAATGATACAAAACAAATTTTTGGTGACATTTCAATACCAAAATACTTAGTCATAATAGTTAATCTATTGCAACATACTCAAAGGCCTATATTTACACTAGTGCTTTAACCCAATGCATATACAATACAGTTTGAAATGACAACTAAACAAACAATATACTTTTTCTTTAGATAGTAGTAACAGCAATGACTTAGCATGGTAAACGAAAAAATGGTCCTGAAAATTTCTGATTGAAAAAAAAAAAAACAATGGTCCTGAAAGTTACCACAAAAAGACATACAATGATTTTCAAGTTGTCAGGGTGGTCCTGTGCATTCATAGAGGAATCTTTATCATAAGGATTAATGAAGAAAATTTCCCATAACCCAGTGCTAAACTATCTTGACCAAGCCAGTTTCCCTGAGCACCACATGCCTTAGATCAGAAGGATAAACCCTGCCTACGTTTTCTTAGGTTGTGTTTGGAGTGTGTAGAATTTGAAATACACTTTGTTAGACCAGTAGGATCACAATATGTAATTTTTAACACTTTTAAAGTTCCAATATCTCTAACTCAAGCGAGAAAATCAAACTGAAATTGGCCAGGAAAAGATTGTGAAATAACTCCCAAATTTGGGGCCCCCAGCCAACGCCTAGACCAGAAAAAGGAATTCTTTTGTTGAATTTTTATCAGTTCTAGCTATTTATGACGAGTAGAGTCCAGAAATATAACTCATATATATATATAACGAAAATCATCACTTCAAAATAAATAAATTAATAAAACTCACCCCAATATCCCAGTAGAAATGAAACATAATCAAACAAAAAATTAAAATCAAGTAATTCAAAATCCCTCAAACACATAAAATGAATTATGAGCGGATTGGTTTCTAATTCCCGTTAGTACTAGGAACAGGAAGTTCCCACTTCCCAGTCCCCCATGAACGCAAACAGGAAAGCAAGAGGTAGAACAAGGTAAACCCATAAGCCATACCTGCTTTACGGAGATGGGGAAAGTCAGCATCCCTGAAATCTCTGGCACTTTGACGATCTCCTTTATGATTTGCCGCCAGCTCCTGCAAACACCAGCACAAGCCACCACGCTCCTTCTCGTCGGCCAACTGCTCTCAGACGCTTCAATCCTCATCAAAACCTCTCTCATAAGCTCAGGCGGCAGGTCCGCCCAGCAGCACCCATCTCCCTTCTTTTCGTCCAAGCCGTCCTGATCCTGAATCACCCGTTGCGGCCTCAGCCTCGTAATGTACTTCACTTTCATGAATTTAAGCTTACCCAGTTTCACAAAAACAAAGAGAATATATGAAAAAGGTAGAGAATTTTCTGGGGTTTTCTCGTGGGTTGGAGATTAGGATTGAAATGTGTTGTTTTGTTATGGAGTTGGTGCCGCAGTGAAGAACAGAGACAGAGAGTAGGATAGAAGTGTGGGACTAACAATAAATAAATAATAATTTTGAGCAATGATACAAAAAATGAAAATTTGGTATATTAATGATGAAAAAAGATTAAATAAATTAATGTATATAATATTTTTAATTATTTTTAATAATTTTAATTTTTAATAATTAATTAAGTGTGATTTAAATAAATTTTTTATTAAATATATATTGTAATCATTTTTAAAAATAAAAATTAGTTTATTAAATAATATTTTTAAAAATAAACAATTAAATTTAAATAATCTAAAATAAAAAAAAAGAAGTATTATTAAATAATATAAATTATTTTAATATTTTAAATAAAGATATTTATGTATGCCATTGATACTAAAAATTTTACTCCGTTTGTCACTGTTAGTCAATAATTTTAGGCGGTGTTGTTTGGACCTTTGTCCTCTTTTGTTCAAGAAAAGACAAGAAAACTTTTCTTTGATATCTAAGAAATTAATCCAAAAATTATCTAAAAGGTCTATGTGAAAATCCAAACCTCTTAAAATATGAGATATTTTCAAAAGATTTTTTCTAAAACCAAATCATTTTCCTAAGTGGTTTATAATCAACATGAAATGTGTGTCCCTATTTGGGAATCGGATTTTTATGTAATGATATACATATATTTTATTTATATAATTTTTATATATAATTTTTATATATTATTAAATAAATTTATACATAAAATTTTATAAGTTTTAATAGATTGAAAATACTCAATTATGATATAAAGTTTACAATAAAATTTTCCCTAAATTATTTTCTTATTGTTTTAAATTAAGTATACTTACTTAACAACATCCTTTCAAGATAAGAAAGACAAAAATATTATTAATAAATGTTCATTAATTAACAAAATTTTCAAAAAAATTCATATTTTTACCAACCCGAAACTAATGTTTTATTTATTTATTTTTATTATGAATCCCAAACTAATATTTTAAGGTGCATGCGCTTGCAGTTTTGATTGCTTTAATTCAAGTATGCCTAACTTTTGATTTTTGGTCAGAGTTCAAGCTACACTAGTAGTCTCTATTTTCTTTTTCCCCCGAAATTTCTCTTCTGTTCAAATATATATATATATTAAGGTGTATGGTGAATTATAAAACCGAAAAAAAAAAAATTCTGATTATCAGAATAAAAAATTTTCTTTAGGAATCCTTACCTTTCCTTTTTTATTTCCCTTTTTACTCATTTCTCTCAACCTAATAATCACTCTCTTAATCGGTTTGAGGATAGGAAAATCAACTAAAAGAATCCTTTTTTTTTTTTCTACATGAATCTATGTGGTATTTTTGAAACACAAGTAGAGATATTTTGTGAAGGATTTGGTAAGACGACAAATTACTCTATACGCATCCGATCCTAATCCACATTAAATTTGATTTGGGGTTAAATTAAAATGCAAGGAAAATGTTGATAAGTGATGCCACCTTTTCAAGTATGGAATTGGGACCCATCACATTAATTTTTATTTCCTTTTCATAATATATTTTTCTTTTATCAGCACCTTGTTTTATTCCATCTCTCAATCTCAGTCTATGGGCGAATTATAGTGTTTGTTTTTGGGAAAAAAACAAAAAGAGGAACGTTGACATTTAATTAAATTTTTTTATTAAGATTATTTAAATATATTTCCACACCATGAACTGCATATATTGAAAAGAAATATTTATATATATAAAAAAAAAAAAACTTTCAAGATTTAATTCAGCCTTATCAAATTAAATGATAAATCGAGTCAATTTTTTTTGCTTAT